GAATCTCTCCTGAGTAGTATCCAATCTGTCTAGGTGGGACTGATTAAAGGAAATGCAGAGAGGTCTCTTGTGATGCAAGGGTGAATAATTGTTACCAGGACTGATTGTGAAGGTTGTAAATGTAAAAGTGGGCATTTTGTGGCAAGGAGGGGAGTGACTGACTTTGCAGGCTGGGAGCAGAGGTCCCTGGAACCATGAAGGGAGAAGAGCGGAAAGCAGAACCCTACCCAGAGAGGCAGCGATCCCCGAGATGGAGGCAGAGGACAGGACCCAGGGAGGAAGAGGGGCTGTGTGCTGATGACTCAGGGCAGGGTGGGGGGGAGGGAGAAACAGGTTTATAGGATGCACACTTTCATTGATTGGTGATGCGTGGAGGGGATTGTAACCATGGCAATGAAACAATATATGATGAGTGTAAAACTAATGTTCTCCCATGTAAACTGTCATATAATTCACAATTAAACTTAAAAAAACACACAAAAGAACACAATAGCAGAAATGGCCTTTCAAAAGATGCTTGCATTCTATACTGTTATCAAATGTATCCTAATTACTCTAAGTACATAAGGACACTGTTTATGTATGTGTATGTTTGTATGTTTATAAATGACATCTAGGCTTTATATAGATACAGTCATAGAATTGAATGTTAAAGTTTGGGAGTTATAGACTTTAAACCTTAAAATTAAAACTAATGAGTAATGTTGTTAACTACATTAAAATATTGGGCTGAATTCTTAATAAAATCATGCTTAAAAAAACTAACTAAAAACAGAACCAGAAATATCAGTTTGCAAAAACAATAAAAATTGTAAAAGGAAATCGAGTCGATTTCAGTATAGAAGAGATTTTTTTTAAACTTGGAAAGAAATTAATAAATTATAGGGTAACCTCAAAGAATAATGATAAACTGCCATAAAATAAAACAGGAAAATCTCAAAAGATTTAGTAAACTGAAATAGCAATAAAGGAAAATCACAAGAAAACTAAATGAACTCAGCAGTTATGTGTAACAAAGAAACCAGCAACACCATATTTAAAACAGAATAAAATGACAGCAATTTATTTTGATACTAAAACTGGATGTAAATGGATTAAATGCAACAGAGAGTTGTAGAATAGATAATAAGACCTATCAGTTTGTTGTCTTATTAGAGACACATCAGAGTCAAGGATGGAAAAATAATTAAGCTAACAGCAATCAAAAGCGAGCAGGAGTAACAATATTAATTTCTGACAAAAGACTTTGAGGTGATACAGACTGTATATAATGATTGAAGGATCAACTGAACAAGAGGACATAATTGTAATGAATATCTATATACCTAATGAATGAACCTCAAAATATATAACTTGGAGCCGCAGCGAGAACTTGGAGCCGCAGCGAGAACTTGGAGCCGCAGCGAGAACTTGGAGCCGCAGCGAGAACTTGGAGCCGCA